CCGTGAGAGCGGTGGGGTTCCGGCCTGTGGCTCAGCATCGGGCCCAAGAGCGGAGCTCTGGCGTCACGAGGGCCGCGAGGTGGGGTCCTGTGGGTCAGGATCGTACCTGGGAGTCGAGATCTGGCAGCGCAAAGGGTTGCAGCCTGTGGCTCGAAGTGGAGTTGAGGTCTGGCATGGCTCAGGCCGCCAGCCGCGATCGGCTTGCTTTGTGCGGCTCAGGATCATGCCTTGGTGTGGAGTAAGGGCAACACCAAAGGCCCGTGGGAGCGACAGTGTGGCAACCGGCGGCTCAAAACAGCACCCAGGAGGGGAGATTTGGCCACGCGAATGTTCCTGGAAGCGTGACGCTTGCACCCCGCGGCTCCAACTGCACCTAGGAGTGGCTGGCTGGCAGTACGGAGGCAGCTGGCCTCGGAAGGCTTGGCCTGCACCCCTGTGTTGTAGGAGCGGAGTTCTGGTGACGCAAGGGCCGTCTGGAGTAGTAGATGCTTCCGCCTTGTGATTCATTCAGGCACACGCCAAGGAGTGGAGCGCGCGCAGCACAAAAGCCGGCGGCCGCGATATCACCCGTGCCTCAGGGTCGCACCCGTGAGCTGAGTTCTGACAGCACAAGGTGCCGCCCGCCGTGGCAGGGTTGCAGCCTCGTGAGTTTTGGCAGCACGACTGCCGCCGCGAGCGAGCGGGCTGAATACCGTGGCTCAGGCTCGTGTTCGAGAGCCGAGCTCTGGCAGCAGGAAGGCCTGTGGGAGCGATTGGGTGACAACCTGTCGCTCGAGGTCGCTCCCGATAGCGGAGTGCTGGCTCCACGAAGGCCGCCGGCCACGACAGGGGTCGCACTTTCTTGGCTTTCGGTCGCGTCGGGGCATGGTACGTGGTCTTCTGGCCTCACAAGGCCCCCGCGAGGAGTACCAGCCCAGGGCGCATGCCGAGGAAGATAACCAATCGGCAGGTACACCACAGGCGAGCTCAGCTGCAGAGGAGCACATGCCGTAGAACCCCTGAGCCTCCCGTCCCGTTCCCTGGTGCCTCTCCCTTGCCTCCGCTCCCTCCCTTCCCCTTCTTCTCGCGGCCCAGCTTTGCGTGCCAACGGGCTTGGACGCGTCGGCCACTGCCACTGTCGCTGTCGCCGTCGCCCGAGCTGGCGGCCCTTGTCGGACGGGGCTAGGACGAGAATGAATCCGTCCCAGGGCATTCCAGAACGCTCTCAGAACGTTCCAGAACGCTCTGAGAAGGCCGCGGCGCCCGAGACATCCTGCAGATCTCCCAGATCTCAGAGATTCTCGATTTGTCCTCACCCGAAGTTATCCCCTTCCTGGCTTCGTCTTTCTTTACGCGAGGGTTGCGGCGGCAGTGGCAGCGCTGAGCTGCGCCCGGAGTTCGGTAAGGCATGCAATGTGGAAACTCGCCCTGTCTGGCTGCTGCTCCCGCGGGGGGGGGGGCATGTGCTCGGGGGAGGCTGCAGCACCTCTCAGCCATGTGCTGCTTTCTGAGTCTGCAGGGTGTGCCCCGCAGCTTCGGCTCGGGATCCAGCTGCTGGTGCACTCCAGAGCGCCTTCGGGCCAGCTCGCCCGAGTATGTTTCCCGCTCTCCCCCCCGCCTCCTCCTCCTCGTCCTCGTCCTCGTCCTTGTCCTCGTCCTCCTCCTCCTACTCCTCCCACTGCTTCTCCTCCTCGCCCTCCTCCATTCCTTTTCCTTACTAATGAAGTCCCTGTCACACCCCGAGGCCAATTGGAAGGGTAGGCTGGGCATTTCGCTTGAGACTTCCTCGCCGTTCATTCGTTCCAACAAACTGCAAGAGTTTCACGGATTGAGTACAGCGCCCTGCGTTCTCCTCCCGCCTGCTCCCTCCTCGTATCCCTGCCTCTGCTCTCCGCATGTGCACCCCCCCCCACACGTCCCGTGGCTCTACAGGGAGCTCCACCGCAGGCCTGAGCGACAGGCTCCGCATGGCGGCCCCGCACCCGATTCGGCACACCCCTCATACGTTTCGCGGCCCCACCATAGGGAGCTCCACCGCAGGTCCCAGCGACGGGGACCGCATGGCGGCCCCGCACCCGAGTCGGCGCACGTTTCGCTGCCCCACACGGAGTTCCACCGAAGGCCCCAGCGGCAGGGTCCGCATGGCGGCCCCGCACCCGAGTCGGCACATCCCTGACACGTTTCGTGGCCCCAGTGAGAGCTCCACCGAAGGCCCCAGCGGCAGGGTCCGTATGGCGGCCCGCATTCGATTCGGCGCACCATTCAAACGTTTCGTGACCCATAGTGAACTCCACCGCAGGTCCTGGCGACAGGGTCCGCATGGCGGCCCCGCACCCGAGTCGGCACACCCCTCACACGTTTCGTGGCCTCATAAGAAGTCTCGCCGAAGGCCCCAGCGGCACGGTCCGCATGGCGGCCCCGCACCCGAGTCGGCACACCCCTCACACGTTTCGTTGCCCCTCATGGAGTTCCACCGATGGCCCCAGCGGCACGGTCCGCATGGCGGCCCCGCACCCGAGTCGGCACATCCCTCACACGTTTCGTGGCCCCAAAGGGGGCTCCATCGAAGGCCCCAGCGGCAGGGTCCGCATGGCGGCCCCGCGTCCGATTCGGCACACCCCTCACACGTTTCGTGGCCCCATAGGAAGCTCCACCGAAGGCCTTATCAGCAGGGTCCGCATGGCGGCCGAGAGCTTGATTCGGCAACCCCCTCACACGTTTCGTGGCCCCATATGGGGGCTCCACCAAAGGCCCCAGTGGCTTGGTCCGCATGACAGCCCCGCGCCCGATTCGGCACTCTCTTTCACGTTTCGTGGCCCCAGAGGGAGCTCCACTGAATGCCCCGGCGGCAGGGACCGCATGGCGGCCCCGCACTCGAGTCGGCACACCCCTCACACGCTTCGTGGCCCCATAGGGAGCTCCACCGAAGGCCCCTATCAGCAGGGGCCACATGGCGGCCCCGCGCACTCATTCGATACACCCGTCCACGTTTCGTGGCCCCCAGGAAGCTCCACCAAATAAGGTAGTCACAGCTACGGTATTCATACCTGCATACGGTTGGGTCCATCGCCAGGATATTTTTTCGATGCGTTGCAAGAGTTTCATTGCTTCCCATGGTTAGCGTGCCAGAAATAATGTTTAGGAGCGATTCAGGATTGTCAGGGCGCAACAATTACGTTGGTTCGCGGTGTTGAAGTCCCAGGAATGGTGTTCTGGTGCGATTCAGGATCGTCGAGACGCAACAGTCAGGTTGATTCGTGGCGTTGGAGTCCTGAGAACGGTGCTTTGGCGCTCCCCAGGATTTTCGCACGGTTGTCCCCCAACGGGGCGTTTCCTTCAGTGGTGAATCCTTGTAGAGGCCTATGAAGAGGAAGCTTGGAGGGAGGGTGTGTTCCAACATCGTTGGTGAGTCTGTGATTTGCACTGGTCCTCCGCCTCCTCCCTCCCCTCCTCCTCCTCCTCCTCCTCCTCCTCCTCCTCCTCCTCCTCCTCCTCCTCCTCCTCTTCCCCCCCCTCCTCCTTCTCCTTCTCCTTCTTCTCCTCCTCCTCCTCCTCCTCCTTCTCCTCTTCCCTCTGTAGCCAGTTTGGGCTCGAGAGTTTTTCTCGCAGTCGCGGCACAGGGACTGTCTTGTCTTTTGTTTGTTTGTTTGTTCTCGCTCTTCCATTCTCAAAGGCTTGCATCAAGCTTCTCGGGACTTTAGTATGTTTCAGCTTTGCTCCGATCGCATTGTGAGGAATCGCCTTGCCAAGAAGTCGAGGGATCTCGACACAGCTTTCAACTGGACGCGACACATCACCGAGACGCGGATGTCAGAAATTGTAGAAGAACTCGACATGCTGCTCCGCGCGGTCGGCCTGGTGAACCGGAAAGATATGAAAAAGGCTCTTTCCGATGTGCTTCTGGCACTTCTACGGCTGGGGACATCGAGGCCACCACCCGTTGCTACGAGGACGAACGCACCGACTTTGGCTCCACGGAACATATGGGTGCCCCGCTCCTCTTCCCATTCATGGTACACCCGGACGACTGCGACATCCAGGACTACGAGGACACGTGCTTCCCCGACGCGTACAACATAGGTGCTGTGCCCGTCAGCGCCAGTCACCATGCGTACGACGCCGTGCAGGTCGTGCAGGTCATGGACGTTGAACCCAGACCGTAAGCACCGTCGGCCCGAATCTGTTCAGCAACATGATCATGGGGTCGCAGCTGTTCGACGAAGCGACCACCGTAGTGCTTTCCTCTCGAACCGCCCGTCTCGACACATACGACGATGTGCTCATGCAGATAACCGTGGATGACCAGCGCACTCGCGACGCAGACGTATTGTTCGAATTTCTGCATGGTGATGTTGGCATGGGCGAAGCGTGCTCTTCGTTTGAAAGGTTCCTGAGCGAAATGCTGATCGGACTCCCAGGCGTCTTTCACGAGCACGCAGGCATGGCACGTTTGGTGGATGGGACTCTGGAGCCACATGATTGGCAGTCTTGTGATGACGACGAGCTTCGTGTAGCACACATGTATTACTACTGCGGCTTGCTCTGCTCGTCTGGGTTCCTGCGCGGGGCTCCTGAGGATGGCGCTGAGGACTTCACATCGGTTTCGCCCTTGCCCCTTCCTGGCTGCCCTTTCGGATCTGCGTTTTGGGTTCGCTTTCTCGTGGGCTGCTGGCTTTTTCACTTTCGCTTCCCTGATTGCGTGTAGTCTTCTTTCGATCCGTTTTCCGATATATGTGCAGCATCCTTAGCATTCCCATGTGTAAGGTGTTCTGATGGTAGTATCTGTTCGTAGACAGCCTCACGTGGAGAGATACGGTTACGGCCGTGCCCGGCACTTGAAGGGCGTGGCTCCTCCTCCTCCTCCTCCTCCTCCTCCTTCTCCTCCTCTTCCTCGGGGAACTGGGAGGCCACCGCGCCGCGTCCTTCTCTCTCTCCCCCCCCCGCCACCTCTTCCTCGTTGTACAGAGATGATCGAAAACGAACGCCCCCTCCGCTCCAGCACTGCTCCTCCCGCAGCCCAGGGTCTGCCACAGCGGCCTGACGTCGCTGCCAGAGAGCATCGGGGAACTGCAGGAACCTTCGCCCTTCTCCTTCTCCTTCTCCTTCCCCTTCTCCTGCCCTTTTCCAAGGAGGAGGACGAAGGGGAGGCGGAGGAGGAGGGGGGGGAGGAGGAGAGGGGGGGAGGAGGAGAGGGAGGAGGAGGAGGAGGAGGAGGAGGAGGAGGAGGAGGAGGAGGAGGAGCAGGAGCAGGAGGAGGAGGAGGAGGAAAGGACGGGGGGTGGGTGGATGATGAGGACGATGCTGAGGAGGAGCAGGAGGAGTAGGGGTAGAAGGAGGAGCAGGAGGATGGGGATGATGATGATGATGATGATGATGATGATGATGGTGGTGATGATGATGATGATTATACTGATGGTGATGATGATGATGGTGATGGTGTTGGTGATGATGATGGTGATGATGCGGATGATGGTGATAACGATGATGCTGACGATGACTATGATACTGGTGATGATAATCATGAAGATGCTGCTGACGGTAATACTGCCTATGATGATGATGATGCTGATGATGATGATGATGATGATTCGGATAATGATGTTGATGCTGATGATTGTGATGATGCTGATTATGCTGATGGTGATGGTGATAATGATGATGATGATGCTGGTGATGCTTGGGGTGATGCTGGTACTGTTGATGATGAGGATGCTGATGACGATGACGATGACGATGACGATGTTGATGATGATGCTGCTGATGGTGATGGTGATGCTGCTGCTGACGATGATGTTGATGCTGATGATGATCATCATCATGATGATGACGTTCATGAGGCTGATGATGACGACGCTGATGCTGCTGCTGCGGATGATGATGATGATGATGATGATGATGATGTTGATGATGATGATGATGATGATGATGATGATGGTGAGGACGATGCTGCTCGTGACGAGGATGATGCCGATGATGAGGAGGAGGAAGCGGAGGATGGGGATGCTGATGCTGCTGATGATGATGCTTCTGCTGCTACTGTTGATGTTGATAATGCGGATGTTCGTGATGATGCTGAGGATGATGCTGATGCTGCTGATGATTTTGCTGCTGTTGCTGATGCTCATGTTGATGCTGATGCTGCTGCCGACGATGACGACTATTGTGATGCTGATGCTGCTGCTGATGATGATGCTGATGATGATGGTGATGATGGTGATGATGTTGATGATGATGATCGCTGATGCTGGTGACGATGATGATGATGATTATGATGATGGTGAGGATGATGCTGCTGCTGATGATGGTGATGATGATGATGATGATGAGGATGAGGATCACGATGATGAGGGTGATGTCGCTGCTAATTATGATGATGTTAATGATGCTGCTGCTGCTTCTGCTGCTGTCGCTGCTGCTGGTGATGATGATGACGGTGATGATGATGATGATGCTGCTGCTGATTCTGATGTCGATTGTGATTATTTGTGTTGTTGTTGTTGCTGTTGTTGTTGATGTTGATGTTGATGTTTTTCGTTGTTGTTGTTGTTGTTGCTGTTGTTGTTCATGATCGGGCGGGATAGGGCGGGGGGGGGGTAGCATGCTGCTGCGTATCATCCGATCGAGCGGCTGGCATGCATTATGGAGCGAATCTCCTTCGCCATTCCCAGGCCGACTGCTTGTTTTTCCCAACCATCCTGTGGTGTTGGGCCCCCGTTTAAAGGAGACAACGCCCCGCGTCCTTCCTCCTCCCCTCCTCTCCTCCTCCCCCTCCCTCCCTCCTCCCATCCCTGCCTCTGCTCTCCGCATGTCCATGTCGACGCACCCCTCAACACGCTTTGTGGCTCCATGGGCAGCTTCACCGAAGGCCCAAGTGGCTGCGTTTGCATGCAGTTGCACCTCCCCGTCTTGGCGCGCCCCTCACACACTTCGTGGCTCCATGAGGAGCTCCACCGAAGGCCCCGGTGGCTGCGTTCGCATATAGTTCTGCCCCCCATCTCAGCACATTCCTCACACGTTTCGTGCCCCCAGAGGGAGCTCCACCTAAGGCCCCAGCAGCTGCGTTCGCACGCAGTTCTGCCCCCCCGATCTCGGCGCGCTCCTCACACGCTTCGTGGCTCCATAGGGAGCTCCACCGAATGCCCCAGTGGCTGCGTTCGCATGCGGTTCCACCTGCCTTGTCGGTGCACCCCTCACCCGCTTCATGTCCACAGAGGGAGCTCCACCGAAGGCCCCAGTGGCACGGTCCGCATACAGTTCCACCTTCATCTCGGCGGGCCCCTCACACGTTCCGTGGCTTCATAGGGAGCTCCACCGAAGGCCCCAGTGGCGGGGTCCGCGTGCAGTTTCGCTCACCATCTCGGCGCACCCATTACACGTTTCGTGCCCCCAACGGGAGCTCCACCGACGGCCGCATGTGGCTGCGTCCGCGCGCAGTTTCGCCTCCCATCTCGGCACGCCCCTCACACGTTTCGTGCCCCCAACGGGAGCTCCACCGAAGGCCGTAGTGGCAGGACTCGCGTGCGGTTCCACCCCCATTTCGGAAACCTCACACACCTTACGTGGCCCCAGATGGAGCTCCGCCGAAGACGACATTCACAATTGCGGTAGTCACATCTGCATATGGTGGGGTCCTGCGCCAGGATAATTTTTCGAGCCGCGACTCCTTCCCCAGGATCGCTTTTCAACCTTCCTCCTCACTCCTCCTCCTCCTCTTGCGGAACATCTAGTGGCACAGCATAGCCGTAATCAGGATGATGTGACGGCGTGTGGGCTTGGACATCCGCAGTCCATCGCGTCTGCCCGCAAACTGCCGGCTGTTGCTGGGGCCCCGGCATTGCACCGAGAGGTGGCAGGTGGTAGGTCGTTCATTTGTTGTCCGCGTCCCGCTCCCTTCTCCTCCCCTCTCTCACTCTCTGTCTCCCTCTATCAGAAAAAAGGAGGATGCTTTATTCAACCTGAGTCGTATCGAAGACGGCTACGGCGAATCACCGCCGCCCCCTGCCTTTCAGGATACGCCTGCGTGGCCAAATGTTTGGGCAAAGTTTGGCCGCGGACCATGCGTTCCCCCAGCCCCGTTGTGGAAGCCACTCCTCCTCCCGCCCCTCCGCCCCTCTCGTCGTCCCTGCCCTCGTTCCTCCCTCCCTCGTCCTCCCCAATCTCCCTGTCCCTGCCCGCGCTCCCCTTTGAAGGAGCTCGAGACCTTGTGGCTCGCGAGCAACAGGCCAGGGGGGGGGCTTCCAGGGCGCCTCGGCGGGTGAGGAGGAGAGCGAGGCTGCTGCTGCTGATGACGACGATGTGGACGATGACGGTGGCAACAATGACGACGAGGACGATGACGATGATGACGAGGGTGACGAGGGTGCTGAGGATTATCGTGACGATGATGAGGCCGATACTGATGATGATGATGCTGCTGATGATGATGACGTTGATGATGCTGATGAGGAGGAGGAGATGATGACGATGATAATGATGATGATGATGATGATGATGATGATGATGATGATGATGATGATGATGATGATGATGATGATGATAATGATGATGATGATGTTTGCGTGGTTGTTTATGAGTACGATGATGCTGATTCTGATGATGATGAGGAGGAGGCTGCTGCTGCTGATGATGATGGCGATGATGATGATGGTGATGATGATGATGCTGATGCTGATTTGGTTGATGCTGGTGATAATGAGGATGATGGTGATGATGATGATGATGATGATGGTGGTGGTGGTGGTGGTGGCGGCGGTGACGATGGTGACGCTGATGATGATGATGAAGATGAGGATGAGGAGGAGAAGGATGAGGAGGTAGATGATGGTGACGGTGGTGGTGATGATGATGATGATGATGCTGATGCTGACGAGTTGATGTTAGCGACGCAGACGCAGATGATGATGATGACTATGATGACGGTGCTGCTGCTAATGATGATGATGATGAGGATGATGATGGTGACGATGACGATGACGATGATGACGATGACGATGATGGCGAGGATGATGTTGCTGATGATGATGCTGATGATGCTGACGATGACGATGACGACGACGACGTCGACGACGGTGACGACGATGATGATACTGATGATGCTGATGCTGCTGATGATGATGCTGATGATGGTGATGCTGCCGACGATGGTGACGACGATGATGCTGATGATGATGATGCTCATGATGATGGTGATGAGGATGATAATGATGATGATGATGATGATAATGATGATGATGATGATGATGATGATGATGATGATGATGATGCGGATGCTGATGCTGAAGCTGATGCTTCTGCTGCTGCTGATGATGTTGATGGTGATAGTGATGATGATGCTTCTGCTGCTGCCGATGATGATGCTGTTGCTGCGGCTGCTGCAACTGCGTCTGCTGCTGCTGCTGCTGATGATGATGTGGATGTTGACGATGCTGATGATTATGATGGTGATGCTGTTGTTGATGATGCTGATGATGTTGATGATGCCGATGATGATGAGGACGATGATGATGAGGATGATGATGATGCTGATGATGGTGATGCTGCTGATGATGATGATGCTGCTGAGGATGGTGATGTTGATGATGATGATGATGCTGATGATGATGATGATGATGATGCTGATGGCGATGATGATGATGCTGAGGATGCTGATGAAGATGGTGGTGATGCTGACGATGCTAATGATGATGCTGCTGCTACTGATGATGATAAATATGATGATGTTTATGTTGATGATGCTGATGATGATGCTGCTGCGGATGATGAGGATAATGACTATGATGTTGATGCTGCGGCTCAGGATGATGATGCTGATGCTGCTGATGATGATGCTGATGCTGATGATGATGATGATGATGATGATGATGATGATGATGATGATGATGATGACTATGATGTTGATGCTGCGGCTAATATTGATGATGATGATGATGATGACGATGAAGAGGATGATGACGATGATGCTAATGCTGATGATGCTGATGCTGATGCTGATGATGATGATTACGATGCTGATGATGACGATGGTGATGATGATGATGATGATGATGATGATTATGCTGATGGTGATGATGATGATGATGATGATGATGAGGATGCTGAGGATGATGGTGACGACGACGATGATGATGATGATGATGGTAATGATACTGATAATCATGATGATGATGATGATGATGACGATGCTGCTGCTGCTGAGATGATGATGATGATGATGATGATGATGATGATGATGATGATGATGATGAGGATGAGGATGAGGATGAGGATGATGATGAGGATGAGGATGATGATGATGATGATGATGATGATGATGATGATGATGATGATGCTGATTATGATGATGATGATGATGATGATGATGATGATGATGATGATGATGATGATGATGATGATGATGATGATGATGATGATGGTGGAGTCGAAGGAGGAGGAGGACGAGAAGGATGAGGATGAGGATGAGGATGAGGATGATGATGAGGATGAGGATGAGGATGAGGATGACGATGAGGACGAGGATGGATGTTTCATGAGGTCGTAGAAGGGATTCTGAGGGTTTTCAGTGGTTTCAGAGGAGGTTCCGGGGCTCTAGGGGGTCCAGGGGGGATGGTGAGGAGAATGAAGAGGAGGAGGATGAGGAGGAGGATGATGATGAGAGAGGGGGAGGAGGAGGAGGAGGAGGAGGAGGAGGAGGAGGAGGAGGAGGAGGAGGATGAGGAGGAGGAGGAGGAGGAGGATTGGAGGAGGAGGAGGAGGAGGAGGAGGAGGAGGAGGAGGAGGAGGAGGATGAGGATGAGGATGAGGATCAGGATGAGGACCAGGATGGATGATTCATGAGGTCGTAGAAGGGATTCGCGTCATGATGCCGGGCTGGTTTTGATAGGCGCGCTGCAGCGATAGCTAGCTGTTGGAACGTTGCGCATGTTTTTCGTTTTTCTTCATACGTGCATGTTGGATGAAACTAGTGGCTAGAGGTTGGAGTCCTTGCCGGGGAGTCTCTGCAACCTCCGCAAGCTGCAATATCTTCAGCTTGGCGACAACTTGCTCACGGCGCCGCAGATGACCTCTTTCTTTTACTCTGTCTGTCTGTCTGTCTTCCTGCCTGCCTGCCTGCCTGTCTGTCTGCCTGCCTGCCTGTCTGTCTGTCTGTCTGTCTGTCTGTCTGTCTGTTTGTCTGTCTGCCTGTCTGTCTGTTTTGTCTGTTCAGTCCGCCTGTCTGTCTGTCCATCTGTCTGTCTGTCAGTCTGCCTGTCTGCCTGTCTGCCTGTCTCCCTGTTTGTCTGTCTCTTTTTACGTATGGTTGTCCTTCCTATCGGCTTCATTGGTTTTTGTCGCTTGTTGCCTAGCAGGTGAAGGTATTCGGCTGCCTACAGAAAGCCCCGCACGTGTGCCAGCGTAGCGTACGCGTTCATCCAGGACGATTTGCCGAGCTCGCCCGGACAGGCTTGGCAGAGCTGGCTCTGCAAGGCCCTCTTACACACGATTCGACAGGGCGCGCCCCAGGCGGTAGAACCACGGTTTTGCGTGCCCACTGGGGCGGTCTTGGGCAGTTTTGGACGCGATGGTATTGTTGACCTCTCCCGAATATTCTCGGTAGAACCACCTCGAGGCCGCCCAGGCAGGTCGTGGAGCCGTCTGAGAGTCTTTGCGCGGAGATCTTGGGCTGTCAAGGGGGCGGTCTGGCTGTCTGGGGGCTCTCTTGTGGCTCTCTCCAGGGGCCTTTGTCGGGGGCACTTCGGGGCCGCCCTGGGGCCCTCTGAGGCCACTGTGAGGCCACCTTGGGCCGAAACTCCTGGGACGTGAATCGCATTGAATCCCCTACCTGTGGTTCGAGCATACATACGGTTTGGTCTTGCATATTCTGACTTCTCCGCCAGTGCTTTGGTTCCAGAGTTCCAGGGGGGCGATACTGTATTTGGTGATCGATGAAGCGTTTGTTGTGAAAGCGATTTTTTGGTGCCCCCAGGAAATTCAGAGGCCGTCGTGGGCGCGATTGTCGTCCAGAGTTCGAGTCGCTTTGGTAAGCCAAGCGGGTGGCTGTCTGGACGGTTCTCGGTGCCGTCTTTGACCCTGGCGGGGGGGTTTATGTTGGGCTGTCTTGGGCGGTGCTCGGGCTACCCTGGGACTGTGGCCTTCTCGGGGTCGTCTTGTAGATCTCTCCAAGGCTGCCTGTGGGCCCTTTGAGGCCATCCTGTGCCAGTATCAGTCCGAAGTGCCCAGGAAGCAACATTCTCGGAATCTGCTTTGCGATTTCAGCATTCTGTTTTCGCAGAGACCCCCTGGACAAGCTATCACTTGGACGGTGTCGAGGCTCCTGGGTGGTTTCCAGCCGTCTGGTTGTGCATTCGCGCCGCTTATGCTGTTGCTGTGGCTGTCGCTGCTTGATAATGCCACTGATGTCGCCGTTGACAGCGTTGCCTCTTACAGTGGAGACTCATGCCAAGAGACACCCTGTTTGCCTCCAAGGTGCCCTGGGTTTCTTGGTTTTCGATGGTTTTGCTATGGAGAGCGTGACGCTCCCACACCAAGAATCAGTGGACGTCCTGGGGTCTCAGGGTTGGGTTACTTATGGAAGGTTTCTCGTGGTCGCGCCCCTACTGTACTTCGTAGATCCGCCGTCAGAGAATATCCGCATCCAGTTTTAAGTCGGGCCTGTCCTTCTACAGGAGGAGTATTCACACATAGTCAAAACATTGCCCGGGGACATTTTTTTGATCATCTGTGATTTTGTTGACTATTTTTTACGTATGGTTAGTTTTTCGTCCAACACCCCCCTGCATGGGGGACAGTTTTTGGTCGGCGGGTCGAGAGCGGGCCTCTTCCGGTTCAGAGCTAGGCGGGGCGCGCGAAGCACTAATTGGGGAGACAGGGCGCGGGCGGGCGGGGCCTCAGGCGGCCGGAGGGTGCGGAGTACAGGCGGTGCCGAAGAGCTTGCACGCTGCACGGGGGACAGGCACGACCTAAATCCAGCTGCTCGCGGCAGCACCGCCACCGCACCCTCGAGATGCGCTCCGCGTGGCGATCTCCTCCGAGCAGCGCTCCTGCAAGGCTGGCACTCGCGTGTGGCACCGCTCGCCTCCACTCCTCGAGGAGCTCCCACGGGAAGTCGTTGGGCCTCGT